GTCATGACATAGATGACTCCTGCCTCACACAATGCCGAGATCCTCATGGCCGCTCTCATGTAGTCAGTAAAGACAAAGAAAGTAGCACAGTAAGGGAGAAGGCCAGGGCTGTGGAGAGCAATGCCATTGCAGATGGCGCCCATCCCATGTTCCCTAACACCAAAACGGACATTTTGCTCCTTGGGTGTGCCTTTTTGGAAGTCACCAAACATCTTCAGCAGTGTCATGTTGGAGGATGCAAGGTCAGCACTACCACCAAGAAGTCCTGGTAGCACTTTCACAAGTGCATTCAAGTTCTGTTGTGATAAATTTCTCGTAGCATCTGCAGGACTTTCCACGGTATATATCTGGAAAGGAGCAAAGAAATTAACGTCTATCACAACCCAATTACCAGTACAAGCATGCTTTGTGGATATAGAAAGGAGCATGGGAGGTGAAATATCAAAAGAGAGTCACCGGAAGAGCTTTCTCCCATCCAGCAGGAAATTCTCCTGATATGATAGCTTTCAGCTCTGCAGCATCCTCCTTATACTTATTCTCATATACTGCAAACTTGGCATTCCACTCAGCTTCAAGAGCAGCACCTTCAGGAACATGGCGGCTCCAATGACTGAAAGAACAAAGCAAGGGAATTCATTTAGACGCACAGTCTGCATAGTTTTATTTGATAATTAGAATATGAATCACATAGTGTCTGACCTCTTGACATCCTCAGGCACATGGAAAGGCTCATATGGCCATCCAAGATTCTGCCTGGTTGCATCAACTTCCTTGGCACCCAATGCACTTCCATGTACACTGTACGAGTTTGCCTTGTTTGGTGATCCATATCCGATGGTAGTCGTGACCTGCAAGAACTCAGTTCTTTATCAAGACTGATGCAATCAGAAGCTAAAATAATCAGTCAATCATATCATTTATAATCAAAAGCAATTCAGGAAACCAAACCTTGATAAGTGTCGGCTTGTCTTTAATCGCCTTTGCATCCTTAATGGCAGCACGAATATCAGTGTAGCCAGTGTTACCGTTCTTCACCCAGATAGTATGCCATCCAAGAGCCTCAAAGCGAGCGCTAACATCTTCAGTAAATGCAATCTCCGTGTCTCCATCAATAGAGATGTGGTTGTCATCGTAAAATGCGATAAGTTTTCCCAGACCCCAGTGCCCAGCAAGAGAGCAAGCTTCATTTGCAATGCCCTCCATTTGGCAACCATCTCCAAGGATAACATATCTATATCATCAAAATCAAGTTAGTTCTTACACAGAACTTAGCAATGCGAACATAAGCTTCATTTGCATTGCCCTCCATTTGGCAACCATCTCCAAGTATAACATATCTATATCATCAAAATCAAGAAAGAACAAGATATGCACAAAGAGCAGTTACGTGTAATGGTCGACAATCTCGTTGTCAGGCTTATTGAAACGGGCGGCCAAGTGTCTCTCGGCAAGTGCCAATCCAACAGCATTTGCAACACCCTGACCAAGTGGGCCTGCATCAGTTAATCACAAACAATGGAGATGTTAAGTACTCCAGCAACCAATGATCGGAAGAAAGCAAGGATTAATTTGCATGACACAGACTATGTCCCTCTAATAAAAACTTGTGCCAAGGGAACAAACCAGTAGTGACTTCAACTCCAGGTGTTTCAAAGTTTTCAGGATGACCAGGTGTCCTGCTTCCCCATTGCCGGAATTGCTGTATGTCTTCGATCTGAAATCATATTGAAATGATCAAAACCACATCCTTGAAGGCCACCTCTCATACATATAAGAAGATGATGTAACAGAGAGCCTTATTCTAATTTGGTTAACAATGGGGCACCAAATTGATCTTATCAAATGAAAAGTTGTACTACTTATAAAGCTCTAAACTTAAAAAATAATAAGCATAATATCTCGTTATGAAGGACAAAGGTAAAATTCCATGGAATATGGTATATCCGTCTATCTCTTTTCCTGTTTGTGCTTCCAATAAAAGGCCGAAAGCGTCCCAAAAAACAAACCCAACTTTTCACAAGTCAAGGAGAGCACAAAAGTGATCCAAATCACAGGAGGGAAAAAGAAAAGGTGTCGGAACGCCATCATGTTCCCAACTTTCTGGCCGATATACTCATCAGATCTGGAAAGAAACCTCGGAGAAGATCAAAGGCCTGACCTTGACGCTGTCGTAGCCGGCAAGGTGGAGCAGGGCGTACTGAAGCATGCAGCCATGGCCGGCGGAGAGCACGAAGCGGTCGCGATTGAACCAGTAGGGGTTCTTGGGGTTGTACCTCATGACGTCGTCGTACAAGATGTGGCCCATGGGAGCGCACCCCATAGGGAGGCCCGGGTGGCCGGAGTTAGCCTTCTCGACGGCATCGATGGCGAGGAACCGGATGGTGTTGACGGACTTCTCGACGAGGGCCTCCGCGGTGGCGGCCTCCACGGTCTCCACCGCCGCTGCCCTGGCGGGCGCCGCACGGCGACGCAGCTGATGCGACCACCGACGTTGCTGCAGGAAGCGCGAGGAGGGGGCGGACGAAAGGGAGAGGCCGGCGAGGGAGCTGAGGGCCAACCCGCTGGGGAGAGCGAGGCAGTCTGCGTAGGAGGCGGAGCTGGCACCATGACTGGAGACAGCGACGCCGACAAGGCCTTTGGCGGCGCTCACGGAGGAGGAAGTAGCCATCTCTCACTCCGCGGCTCTTCCTCTTCTCCTCTCAAGATCTGGCTTGAGATGGTGAGGAAGCACTGGCAGGTGCGTCGTGGGTACGTTTTCGGTCCGGGGAATAAAAAGGGAACGACGAGAGCCAATGGTGCCTGCGGAGCTGTCAGATCGAAAGATTGATGTGATCTCAGCCGTTGGAAGAGGGTAGGAAATGACTGCCTCGCGTTTTTCAGCCATGTCATCTTCACTCTTTATTTTACTATTATTTGAATTTTATTTGGATCATGTTGTAAAAGCATATTCCCACTTTGGCTTTGAATGATGCCAGCATGGAATGATTTGTCTATTTCTTCAAATTTTGATTGGTTAATTTCTTGATTGTAGGCGTTGTAATATATATATATATATATATATATA